CTGATGGCCATGCTGATTTCTTCAATTGTTGGTGGGCCAACATCGATTGGGAGGTCCGTGTGTGCTGCTTCGATGTTGGGTGGATTCAATGGTGCCGGTCGATTCAAGAGTTCTTCGAAGTGTTCTACCCACCTGTTTTGTTGCTCTTCAATGTTGGTGATTACCTCGCCTTCCTTGCTTTTCACTGGTCTTTCTGATTTGCGGTGATTTCCAGAGAGTTTCTTTGTCGTGTCATACAGTTGTCTCATGTTTCCTTCTCTTGCAGCCTTTTCCGCCGTCGTTGCTAAATCTTCCACATATTTACGTTTGTCGGTTCTGATGCTCCTCTTCACTTGTTTGTTTACTTCTGTGTATTCAGCTTGTGCCTTGGCTTTTTCTGCTCTTGTTCGACTGGTATTGATTGCTGCCTTCTTGTTCCTTCTTTCTTGAATCTTATCCAGTGTATCGCCAGTGATCCATTCCTTGTGATGGTGCTTCTTGTGGCCCAAGACCTCATGAAATGTTGAAGTGATTGCTTCTTTGATCCCCTTCTAGTTGCTCTCCATGGTAGTTTCTTCTCCACTGAGTAGATCATGAAAGGCCTGGAACTTGTTGCTGAGGACTATCTTGAATTTGTTGAATTTGTCAGTGTCCCGAAGAAAAGCCGTATTGAACTTTTGTGATATTGTCCGCCCCGTTGTCCAGTACTTCTTGAGTTTCAATTTCATCTTGGCGACCAGCAAGTGATGATCTGATGCTATATCAGCTCCTCTCTTGGTTCTCACGTCTTCCATCATCCTCCTGAACTTTTTGTTGATGGTCGATTTGGTTTTGTGTTGTGTGATCCGGTGAAGTCCATGTGGTTTTGTGTGTGCGTTTGTGTGGGAGTATAGTTCAGCCTATGACCAGTTTATTGAAGCCACATAGGTTTGCAAATCTCTCACCATTTTCGTTCCTTTCTCCCAGTCCGTGTCGTTCCATGATGTCTTCATATCCAGTGTTGTCCACTCCAACCTTGGCATTGAAATCTCCCATCAGAATGGTCAGGTCCTTTGTTGGGCACTTCTCGATGATTTACTGCAGCCTATTGTAGAATTGATCTTTAGCGTCTTCGTTGTAGTCGTTGGTAGGCGCATGGCATTGGGTGATGTTCGTTGTAACGCCCTCTTTCTTTGTTTTGAAGGAGGCTTTGATGATCCTTGGTCCATGAGATTCCCATCCTATAAGTGCATTTTGTGCTTGTTTGGTCAGCATCAATGCAACTCCTTGTGTATGTGGGGCGTTTTCTTCTTCATGGCCGGAGTATAACAGGAGCTCTCCTGTAGTTAGTCGTTGTTGTCCAACTTGTGTCCAATGTGTTTCACTGATCCCAAGTACCTCTAGGTTGTATCTTCTCATTTCTGCAGCAATTTGGAAGGCTCTCCCGATGTCCCACATTGTACGAATATTCCATGTACCTGAATAAATGGTTGCTCTGGTTTTCAGGAGGGGTGTTGGCCTCATAACTTCCGAAGGAATTCGGCTTTCATTATGAGGCGTCATAGTTCTTCTAAAAGAAGACATTCTGACTCCCAGGGCAGAGTTTAAAAGGTTTGAATAATTTTTTCTGTTTAGCGTTTTTTTAGCGAGTTATTTTTCTACGGGATGGGGACACTAACCGCATGCTCAACCCTCCTCCTATATCCGGGCTTGGGACGGGCAGTAGCCCCCGGAGTTACCCCAGGCGTAGTTTTATCATACCTACATACACATATAAATATACAAACATGCTTTACATAAATCACCTTGACTTCATTGACATTAACTTAGTCATACTTATTTTTGGTCGATCGTACCAAATATTATTGCTTTTTAAACTTGGGTTAATTTAATTTGTTTAACTATTCTCTGAAGAATTGGCTTTTACTGAGTCAATAGATGTCAGAAAATTTGAAAACTTAATTTTTCTACTAATTGGGATATTACGAATATATTATTTTTATTGAGTTCAACTTAATGGTATGTGATACTCAACTAATCTTAACCTTAGGGTAGTTTAAATCATAGGTTCTTCGTAATCTTTGACATGATCGCTTATTATACGTTTGAGTTAGTAGAATTTATATTTTAGTCAAATTTTCTATATCATATTATCCGCTCAGCCTTAGCGAACAATATTTTTTTGTTATAAAAAGAAAGCTATTGTGATTACAGAATACAGTGTCATTTCTATCTATTGTATATTTCCGTGTATTTGGATGAGTGTGAATTCTGTATAGATCAACCATCTGCTTTTGGCAAGATAATCTATAAAGTCATATGACTACAGCACATTGATTTTTACATTGTTTTCTTGTTTATATATATATATATATATATATATATATATATATATATATATATATCACTCTAGGTATACATTGAAGATGATGTCATTTAGTAAACTGTAAATAAATAAATAAATAAATAAAATAGTACATAGAATAATCACTATTGACGACAGACAATCACAACCTTATTTCTAGCAAAGATTGTTAACGGAGAAAAATAAGAAATACAGAATAAGTCGCTTACAGCCACAACCATTATTTTTTGTAAAGTAAATAATATGAATTCATGAGTCGATTTCAGATAGACCACGCTAAAAAACCTGGAAGCACTCAATGGCCGGTTCGTCTTAGTATGGGACTCCTTGGCAGTGTGCATTCACGATCCCGCACACGGGATTCAAACACAGGACCTTCGGTCTAGTGCTCAAATGCTAGTGAATAGCTATAACTAGTGGAGTTCAACCGTATCTGTTGTGATGCACTTACTCACTGAAGACAATGGTGAACGGTCGCGCAATGTCGTGGATTGGTTGAAGTTAGACATTAACACCGTTGGGCACCGGCTCAGTGGTCTAGGTGTTAAGTGTCCACGCGCGAGACCGAAGGTCTTGGGTTCGAATTCCGCGTGCGGGATCGCGAATACACACTGCTAAGGAGTCTCCTACTAGGACAAAACGGCCGTCCAGTGCTTCCAGGTTATGCAGGGTGGTCTAGCTTAAAGCGACTCATGAATTCAACTATTATAAAAATTATCACAATTTCCATTAAACCTCATTCTGATAAATAAAATGAGTTGAGGATTACTTGATACTGTTAATTTATTTTTTTAATGAAACATATAAGCTGGACCAAACTTGAAGTCATAATTTGGTTTGCGTAAAATCACTATTGGTTTTATAGGTGGTTAGAAAACGCTGTGAATTAGAGTTTTATGCCTGTTCACAATAATTCTCAAATTAATTTAAAACTAATGACTACTGTGAAGCAATTATTGTAACATTATCCAGTCCTTAGATATGTTCGGACCCAGTCGATCACGTTTAAACGCTACTATATATTTAGGTAACTGAATACCATAGTTAACATTCTTCAACATTAAATGACTTCTTTGAGAACACCCCACGCAAGTTGTAGTTATGCAAAAGCAGATCAAGCATTTTTTTCATGCTAAAAACTAAAAGTCTCGGTAGTGTACACAGTGAATTCTATATGAATCATGTATTTTAAAATGGTGGGTTTTTTTGAAAGGACAAAAGCTCCATAGTTGATGATATATTTTATAAAACGAGATATTATTATTTAATGTTAAACTATTGGGTAATTAGACTTGTATGCCATACTAGTCATCTGGTAAATCTAGTTCTTTCGATACCAGTAGTTTATTACTTTAGTCATTCAGTGTTTTGAAAGATATCACTCTCACTAACCGGTATGGAATCATACTACTTAATTGCAATTAAAGTGTACTCACAGTTTGTATCGACTTGTGTTGTGTTGTGGTCATTGTTTAATCCAACGTAGATACTTCAGTTCATTAAATTGTAACTAATTTAGTAAGTTATACGTAGTTATCTCATTCTTTAAACAGGTGAGACTATTTATTAAATAAGTGTGTAGCACAAACGATATACTGGCAAACTTCTTGAAATAGTTAAAGTTTAATTTAAAGACTCTCATTCTAATGTGTTAGAATATCTTATTAAAGTGTTATTCAACTAGACAGTTGAAGATTGGTGTACATTAAACACATTAGACATTTGATTATCATTTATTCCTTCTCGATATCGAGTATGTTATTTATTTATTATATTTATTTATTTTAACACATAGATATTGGTACAAGGGGGCACCAGATACATATGCGCCACACAAATCTCATTCGATATGTGTGAGGGCTGGGATACTGCCCGGGTGCCTAAACCAAAGCAGGTGGTTTTCTTAGGGGCCACACCTCTATCGAGTATGTTACGAACGTTCAAAGTTTTAAATGACGTATTCAGCTTATCTAATTATTGGATCAAAACGTTTTATCCACCTACGATTAAAACTCAAATAATTAGGACCGACCAAAAGACCATTCGAGAGAAATTTATAGTTATATTTTGTGGTTATTTTTTTAAAGCTAGTTAATATGGATGATTTATATGATCATTTATATTGATAACATTCACGCTCAGGGTACTTAAATTGATCAATAATTAGTATTAATTTATTTACTGGGTACTATCATTCCAATGCACTCTATAATATCAAATAAATAAAAAACCCTGGAATCTTTGGTTATTTTCATTCTCTGATAGAATCGGTCGTCGACAACATTCACACTGTATTCCGTTTTGGTCGAAGTAGTCTCATTTTACCGCACATTAAGTAAATCTAAAAAATTTTTAGACAATGAATTTTTTTTTCAATTAGGGGAAATTATAAGAATAGTAAAAACATTGATCAGTTATATAATTTGGGGATTCATTTAGGGAGCTTCAACTGAAGAGTTGGACTTAATCAGCATTCCTGAATGTATGCTTCGTGATTATTTACATTTATGTATAGGCTATCAAAAACCAGAATAAAATGTTTGTTATATGCTCCCGAAATCTTATACAGTTAAGATAAATGAAAAAACTTTACATCCTAGTAAAGAATTTATCCAAATGTTTTAAAATTATTTTTGCAGAATGTACCATTTCTCGATTTTTTCTTTTCTAATTTTAGACAGTTACGCCAAGAAATGATTGATAAACAAAAAGCTCGTATAAAAAATTCAGAATCTATCGGTGAAGGTCGATGTAACAATTGTAATACTCTATTTGTACCACTTTTACAACCGGCTATTCGATGTGTCAATTGTCATGGGGATTTCTGTCGTATGTGCACAGAAAAACTACCTAATACAAATGTTGTGATGTGTAAATTTTGTCGATTCGAAACGTAAGCTACCAACTTCTCATGATTTTATATTAGTTGACTGAAATTAAATCCGATGAACGATTGTTTTTTATTGGACCTTGTCTTATATTTATGTTCTGCTTGTTGTAGATGGTTACACTTGTGTAATATCACTCAATTTTTTGTTTAATAACAATTGAAATTAAGTTACTGCATTTACACCGTAATAACTTTTGAATAAGTACGTATGGAGGAATCGTTTTAGTTCTACTTAGTGCTAAATTTCCAGTTAACACAAAAGAATTAAGGAGTTACAATGAAACAATCAAAATGACAGTAGTTGAATTCCTGCTACGATTTTCTATGCAATGCCTAAGTAACATAGTGGTTACTAGACTAAAAAAGGTGTATGGTATTTGATATTGTCTTCTAAATGAAGACCTTCTGACTCCCAGGGCAGAGTTTGAAAGGCTTGAATTATTTTTTCTGGTTAGCGTTTTTTAGCGAGTTAGTTTTCTACAGGATGGGGACGCTAACCCCATGCCCAACCCTCCTCCTTTATCCGGGCTTGGGACCGGCAGTAGCCCCCGGAGGGACTCCAGGTGGAGTTATTTTGTGTTGTACAGTGAATAAACACTCTTCTGATTTTTTGAAAGATCATGTTACTGTCATCGAACAGGCGGGTTTGTCACCATGTGAAAAATTATACTTCTTGTAAAATCTAATCTCATATCATCTAATGCTCCAGTCAACTTTATCCGACTGATCCACTACGCTTAAATTGCGAATTTTCTGTCTATCATCTTTTACCATTCATGGTTACGATATAACTGTTTGTCTCATAGATTGTGCAAATCATACTAAGTGCAAATGAATTTGTTAACATATCTCATTTTCAAGAGAAAGTTATTTTCATCTAATACTTTACATTTATTCTTTCTTATTGATTAGCCAAATGACTTTTATCAATCTGTATATAAGAATGATGACATTTGAATAAACACAATTCACTGTCAAATACTTGTTTCACACCGTAATTTAGAATCAATATTCCTTGCTACAAAATGAATTCCATTGCCAAGTCTTCTTTTTTATTGTTAACAACACTAATAGTATCATATGGATTTTTATGTAGATCATAATGTCTTAAGTGACAGCAAAGTTATATAGGTGAACACAATATCACTGAAAAATATAAATCCACACAATTTACGTATAGAATAATAAGAGTTTAATAACTCATTAATTGTAATCTAAAAGATTGAATAATTCACTTGATGAATGATCTTATTCAAACATCTATCCATCATCAGAAATCTATCATAATTATGAATTAAACACGATTATCATTACCAGCTAGATTACTCCAAATTAGTTTAGATAGATAAAGCATTAAATTTCAAAATTTATTTGTTTTATTGATAGATAATGTGATTGGCTAAATGAGATTGTTTTTTTTCAATCAGTGAAGTTTTCAATTCATATAATTTCAAGAAGTGTTTATGTCAACTAATTCTATAAATATCATATTCTGAGTTGGCATAACATCATGTTGCTGTAGGTCGCACTCTGGTATCGTTTCACCTGGGGATAAATCTTTTACCTTTTACTATAGATTCCTAAAGGAATCTTAAGTACAATGCATACTGTCTCATTTTTCTAACTCCATCTTTGGATGGGGTTGAATATGCGGAAAATTTAATTTTGTACTGAATATATAATATTGAATAAATACACTATCATTATTGTTATGGTTATTATTAGTAGCCGTAGTAGTGCTGAGAAAAGAAAAGAAGAAAATGGGTTACAATTACTGACTACAAAATGAAAATGGGAGAGTAATTAATAAAGATTTATTTCCAAAGAAAGTGATGTTAAAATCATAGAATTGGACTACGGTTTTGCTAATTCAGCATGTTAATATCCTTTAAAATCACGCTTTTGTTTTATTTGCCTTATTTGTTTCCTCTTCAGTGATATTACTTGAACATCAAATATCGTAATAGTGGTTATCTGTAGTTTTACCTTACAATTTCCTCTGGTTTTTACCACCATCTACACTTGATAACATAATGCGAGTCATAAACTTCTCAATATCACCTAGTTTTCAATTCCGCGTTGATTCTGAACTTTTGCAACTTTTACGCAGAAAGTGAATCCGTCAGTCATTAGTGTCTATGATTTCCTGACATGCCTATCAACGTCGTATTTAGTTGGTTAGTAGAAATCTCCTTCTCACTTCTGTAGCTTACTTAAACTTACTTTATAATTAGTACATATTCTGTCTAAAACTTAATTATGTATTAAATTATTTGTCCTAAGGTTCTTTCTGAACATATGCTATCGAGATTGTTTCTTCCGGTTTTAAATGATTGATATCAATACTTTCGCTTCAAACACTAACTTCTAGTGATTAACTTTTGATTTCTGGAATTAATTCACATAGTGACGGGTATAATCCAATTTTCGTAAAACGTTTTACTAACTTCAGTGGATCAGAAATAAACTAGCGAGGATCATATAGGTGTAACTTGTTTATATTTAGCCTACCTTGGTTTATATTGAAAGTTCTATTAAGACCATATAACTTGCTGTCATTACGTCATTGAAGTGAATATTATGTCAGTTGCTTGTTGTTCACTGAATGAATTCGCACTTTAGGTTATCCTCAAGATTCAAGCTTTAGTCAGAACATATTTTGACATCAAGATAACCATATGACTTTTTAGAGGAGTTTAGTTAATTCATACTAAGTAGTTGTTCTTACATATAAGTTAGCCTGCCCCAAAGACAGAACTATTTCAATAAACTAAAACTAAAATTCTAACTGTATGTTCGTAATATTTTGTTATAGCTATTTATTTAACTGCTCTTTGAATAGCTCTACTGGTTTGCTTCTAACATTAGTGGGGTGGAACAAATTAACTTTGTATTTGATAGGGAAGTTCATTTTTCATCGCCTGCCTGTTAACTTTCGTGGACAACCATAGGCCGCCCATCAGGATTCTCTAACAAACTCTGTCCTGGGTTCTCCTTTCCAGTTGTTTCCTATTGTTATTCGTTATTTTGATGTCTCCTATGAATTCCCGACGCAATGTGTTCCTCACTCTGCCTCTTTTTCTGTTGCCGTCCAGATTCCAAGGTAAGGCTTGACACGTGATGCAGTCTGATGTTTTCCGCAATACGTTTCCTATCCACTTCCAGCGTCTTTTATTAATTTCCTCTTCAGGCGGGAGTTGGTTCGTTCTCTACCATAGAAGGTTGTTGGTGACAGCACCCGGCCAACAGACACTGAGTATCTTGCGTAGAGAATTGTTGATGGATGCATTCTCTTTTTTTCATACATAACATAAAATTTCATAGCCATACTTAAAACCCTAGTTATGGTTTTGCACCAAGAATATAAATAATTTTGTTGAATACCAATAATTTAACAAATCTAGTGAACATTCAATTTAAAAGTGATTGATAATTAATAAGATATTTTGATCAAACCATCATCACCTAATTATGCAATAATCGTTGTATATTGTATTGTTTATGCATATTTTATTGTTCATTGACCCTTTTTTTTCAAACACACAACTACGGAGTAATTGTGAACTCAACTCAGTGAACTTAGTTGATTGATTAATTTATTCACAATAAGTAAAATCCGGTTAATGTGGAAAAGAAACAGCAGAGTAGCACTCGAATTATTGACTAAAACTATTACTTTCAATATTTTTAGTTATCTTAGTAATCAGTTGATTTTGTTGTAAATCAGTCTTGATAAAAACTGACTCAGTGTACCATATGTTACTCATAAGGGATAATATTTTTTACAAGTATTATGCGTTTATCTATTTATGCCTACAGTGAGGACGGATTGATACTAGTCTTACGCTTTTTATTATACGTAATTAAAATGATAATTAATTAAAAGTCTTGTCCTTTGCATATACCAGCTCGAAAATAACCTTTAGTTATCTACATACAGTTGTACTGTTTTTCGTGATAACAGCAAGAAAAAATATAGAAACTGATCGATAAGATCGGTAGAAAGCATCTTTTTTTTAATTGCAAGGAGAGGTTATGAAAGACAACATGCAGCTTTAAAACCTTATCGATTAAGGATTTTATTAAAAGAAAATAGCAGGAACTGTAGTTGGAAAAGTTATAGAAATATAATTCAAAGTTTAATCAAGAATTTTCGTTAGATTGTACTCAAAAGGGTTATATCTGCCGCCTTCCGCATTGTTACGAGCTGATGTATTCGGAAAAATCACTAATAAACAAGCTTTTTATACTAATCATCCACCCTGGGTCTATTCACTTGATCATATATTTAGGTGCTTTTTTCCATTCATTATCCTAAATGAGTATGTTTTCTTAACTGTATTTTCGTTGGATTCACGTGTTACCGGATTCCCCCTACGACAAAATAAGTAATCAATAAATGATTTGTTGTTTAGATTAGCTCCCATTTATCTATATTTTACAAAATGACGATGATTATGTTATCAGATTTTAGTGAGTCATCCTAATTGAAAACCATTGGTTTAACTGGTTTTTTGTCGTATTCTAATCTAGTTAAAATGATTTGAACGTCATCCATAAGGTGATAATCATTAGTTAATTCTGTTGGCTTAATTCAGTTTGATAAAATTGAAAATCCGATTACTGTCTAACCAATAATATTGCTACAATGAAACAGATGTTTGCTAGTATTTATCACTTTAGTATAACAGTGACATTAAGTGATTATTTTATTTTAGGGAAGGGAGAATGCTGAAATTTACGCATTAAAAGGTTGCTTTTATGTCTACTGGATAAATCAAAAGATTGTATAGGCTAAGTTTATTGGGTCTTGAAAATGCTGTTAATAAACTTCCATTATGACCATTTCTTTGGACAATATCATAGCAATTTGCTGCTTAAATTCACTTATAGCCATTTTTATGATTATAAACAAAAACTAATATTCGACACCTTAATAATTCAGTCATTGCTCCCAACAGATCCCTCTTGATTCATTTGTTTCAGTGAGTTGTTTCCTCACT